AAACAGATAAAACGAAAATAATTTCTAATTGACGATACGTCGCACGTAGGGTTAATGAAGGACAATTAAAACACTTTACTTACATAATTTTCCCTACGGCATCCATCTCTGGGCGGCGCGGCGGCTGCTGATTGTCCAACTGGGTGGCACCTTGATACAACCCGGGTATTCACCCTTTCGGACCTTTGCACTCTACTTCCCTTCCGGGTAGTCAGCCCCCACTAATTTTTTTCCAAAGCACTTCCCTTTCGGGTAATATCAACCCACTTTACTTTACTTTACTTTCAACTATTGGCTTCCCTTTCGAAGAGCCTAACTTGACCGTCACTTGACTTTACTTCCCTTCCGGAGAATATCAACCCACTTTACTTTACTTTACTTTCAACTATTGGCTTCCCTTTCGAAGAGCCTAACTTGACCGTCACTTGACTTTACTTCCCTTCCGGAGAATATCAACCCACTTTACTTTACTTTACTTTCAACTATTGGCTTCCCTTTCGAAGAGTCTAACTTGACCGTCATTTGACTTTACTTCCCTTCCGGAGAATATAAGCCCACTTTACTTTACTTTCAACTATTGACTTCCCTTTCGAAGAGCCTAACTTGACCGTCCCTTGACTTTACTTCCCTTCCGGGTAGTCTCAAACGCCACTCTCCTTCCTTTCGGAGACGTTTTGTGAAAATCAGTGATATCCGAGTTCATGCCTGGTACGCCGACCCCCACAAAACTCCACCGACAAGCATTTTTTATTCTGAAAGGAAATATCTTATATAGGTAAACTAAAGTTTCTAATTACCGCCAGACAGACTACATGAGGTTTCATAATACCTAGATGAAATGTTTAATTTAATTTGAAAACGAGTATAAAATATTTATATATCCCTATATAAAATATTTTCTGACAATATATATATATATATATATATATATATATATATATATATATATATATATATATATATATATATATATATATATATATATATATATATATATATATATATATATATATATATATATATATATATATATATATATATATATATATATATATATATATATATATATATATATATATATATATATATAAATATATATATATATATATATATATAAGCATTTAACTTATTCAAATTATCTTGCAATTTTATTTGAAATTGACTTGATTTCAGTACATATTTTAAAATCATCAGCATATAATAAGTAATTGACATCAATTATTTGTGTTATATCAATAATGAAAATAACGAAGAATAACGGCCCAAGAATTGAACCCTGTGGAAATCCTGATGATGTGAAAACTTTTCTAATTTAAAACCCCGGTATTGAAAAAATTAGATCTTAGATCTAAGAAGTTCCAACATAACTGTAGACGTACCAAATATATCTAATTTTGACAGTAATAATTTGTGGTCAAGCCGATCGAAAGCTTTAGAGAAATTATTATAGACGACGTCTACCTGATCTCCCTTATCTAATATTTCAGAAATATACTGTGTCTTTTCCACAAGGTTTGAAGTAGTGGAGCACCCAAACTTAAATCCTTACTGATGTGGAGATTTCAAATTTTCACTGTGGAAGTAAAGATGATCATGAATAATTATTTCGAATACTTTTACAACATTTTACCAGAAAATTAAATATAATATACAGGGGTTTTGGCCAATATTATTGCACAATCTCTTACTAAAAAGGCGGAAATTAAATCTGCGTCCATAGTAAAAATACTTTAATATATATATATATATATATATATATATATATATATATATATATATATATATATATATATATATATATATATAATATATATATATATATATATATATATATATATATATATATATATATATATATATATATATATATATATATATATATATATATATATATATATTATGTAGCGTACTACGATTGACAACTGACTAATATTCGTAATATCGGTTGTTTCATCTAACATAACTGCAACAAAAGGAGCTTTTTTATTTCTTGCTTGATCTTTTCTAAAACAATATTGCTTATCGACTGAATCAAATCATTTTGAATATGATTTGATGTACCGCGAAATATCGTGGAGTGTTCCAGATGGTTACTTAAAATTGTATCGTATTTTGCTAATAAATCAACTAAATTGATAAAATTGCCCCCATTAGCAACGCTTCGAGATTCAGTATGACCTCTAAAACTAAGTTCATTTTCGCCGAGAAAACAAACAATATCAATAAGTCCTTTTAACACTTTCTTTCAACTGCTGATCTAATGAATGCTCAATTCGTGATTTTCCAAATGTTTATTCTTTTAGCACCGCTCCCAAATGAGTTTCACACTTACCATGCTTTTTTGTCACTTTGTGAATGTTTAAATCTGAAAAGCCATTCCCATTTCTAATAATATCCAGTTTATCTTGAAACGAATTGTTGAAAATCCCCTTTTCAACAAATTGCACACCACACAAACGCAAATAATATTTTCCACAGTGCTAGAACCAGCTTCCAAATTTAATAAGTAATTCTAAATCTGCGTACACGCGCACTAATATTCAACGTTTTAAAAATCACTTGTCGCCGCACCACAGGTTTAGAAACACCAAAAAAGTTTTTACAAATATAGCACAAAAGCTGAGAATAATACTAGGAAGATTAATATTAAGTATAATATTAAAATCGATATTAAAATCTAGATTAAAATCTATAAAATAAAACGTATTACGATGCTATACAGCTCAGATATCAAGATTATGAAGTGGGGATGGGACGCATTTCAATAAGTTACCTACTTACCAGAGACAGTTGTCTCTGCTTACATATATCGAAGTTGCGCGAGTTCGTGTTGGCTCGATTAATCGAGTGCGTCATCGTTACGGTTTTATCATGCAACATTATATCAGCTGCTGAAAAGCAGGGCCGTATCTATTGAAATTGGGTAAAAGTAAATTTTAATGATTAATATATGTGATAAATAATAATTAGGTTCTATTTATGTGTTTTTTTTTAATAATCCCAGGGGAAGCACTGCTTCCCTTGCTTCCATGGACCGACCGCCACTGGAATCAGAAATATAACTGGCAAAGGCATTAACAATATCATTTGGTTCGTCTAAGTGGATGTCATTATAATTCAATGTGGATGATACAGTTGTTGAATTAGACTTAAAATTTATGTGAGACCAAAACTTCTTAGAATTACTGCATAATTCATCCTCAATAGAATTTAAGTAATTTTTGTAAGCTATTTTGATAAGCGATTTTACCTCCGATCAAATTTGTTATTGCAAACATTGTCGATGTTGGACCTTTTATACATGTTCAGGAGTTTATTTTTTCAACCTAATCTTATTAATAATATTTTTGTCGAACCATAGAGAACACTGTTTAGAAGTTATTTTCTTTCTAAAAACGTGTTTGACAAGCAACTTGTTCAAAATATCATAAAATTCAGTAACCGTATCATCCACATCTGTGAAATTATAGAGCTCTGACCAATCAGTATACATAATATCGTGATAGAGTATATTAAAATTGCATTTTTTGTTAATTAAGATTACTTTTAGAACCAAGCAGAAATGAGTCATTTTTACTATTTTCAAATTTAGTATTAATAATAAGCGCCGGGTGATGGGCGTCTTCATTTAAAAGAATATCATCAGCTCTAGAAACAGAGCAGCATTTATCATTATTATATATTAGATCTAAAATCATATTATTATTGTTTAAAGTGTGACTTCTCTGCTCCAGAATTAGGAATTTTGCCCAATTATTTAGCGATTTAATTAGGGGACTGTTACTATTGGAAGAGTAATCTGGAATGTTAAAGTCACCCATAATTAAAATATTAGCATCTAGTATGCAATACAACGAGTCAATTGTATCAAAAATTAGATCATATGTATCATAGCTTGTGTTCGGAGGAATATATATAACAATGACGTACAAAAATTTCCTAAAAAATTAATTTTTACACAAACTATGTAAAAGTAACAGTTCAATAAACGTATCACAGATAAAGTTGAGATCAATTTGACTTGGTTTTAATTACGAATTTATTGTTACGATTACGCCTCCTTCCCTTTCTTTATTCGTAGAAATATAGTTTCGATCACCTCGAAAAATTTCAAAACGTAAAGTATCAAAAAAGTTCTGAATTATATACGTTATCGTTTAGTCAGGATTCGGTAAATGCAATCATGTCATTCATATTCAGTACCGGTACAAGAATTCATAAATAAATCCTGGGTCTTAGTTTCTAAATAACATAATTAAATGCAAGGTTAATCTATTTCAAGAGGTCCAGAAAAAATGTGGAAATTCTCTCGTTGCCAATGGTAACAAATCAAAACAAAGGCATTTGATTGATTGTAAGAGAGAGGTGTGAAATGTTCAGGTCTCATTTTCTTTTTACTATATATGAAGATAGTTTTTGATTTTTCTTTTGTAAAATGTAGGCTGAATATCTCTGATGCGGGACCTGATAAAAATATTGCATACAGTAAAGTACTATATGGTAATGAAGTACAGGAAAAATTGTGAGTTTGATGTTCCACTGCGAGCAGAATTTTGTTAGGTACGAAACTTGAAAAAAACATATAAAATGTGCGCCGTAATTATAGCAGAATATTATAAATCCACAAAATGTATTTATGTTACCGCGTGCGTATGCTAGAATTTTGTGTTTATGTGAAATGAATATACTATATTATGCGCTGCCCAATTTAAAATGAATGCAAGACACTGAACAAATTTGTTTTAAGTCTCTGTCGGGTCGGTGTCTTGTTGTTGTCTGACAGATGGGCGCTCTGGTTTAGTTTATCAGGGTGCTTGCTGCTGCTTAAAAAAATGTTTTCTTAACCGCCTCTCAAATCACCGCAGCCTCGGAAAATCCTAGGATTTTGAAAAGAGAGACGAGGTCCTACAGTTTACTGTGGAGTTCGAATCACATCTAGGGCATCGACAATTCTCTGTCCCATCTTAGTCCGAAACAAATTACAAATAAACTTTTTAACTTGCTCCAGGGTGGAATCGAACCACCGACCTTCGGTACCGAATGGATAGCTATAAGCGCTTTACCCACTTGGCTACCATGCCTCCTGTACAGGAAGTTGACTCTTAGGCAACATTGTTAAATTTTTTAATATCGTATTTGACTGTCAATGAATATATTGAAGAACAGTGTCATAATTTATTATTTAAAACAAATAGTTAAAAATCCTACACAAGTTACTAACACTTCATCAAGTTTGATTGATGTTATCTTTGTTTCAAATAATTTAATGTGGTACAAAAAATGTAACTGACGTGCCCGATCGTCCTTTGTTTTTTGTTCGTTTAGAAAACAGTCATAGTTTACTAATTGAAACAAATAGTTAACAATCCTATACGAGTTACTAACACTTCGTCAAGTTTGATTGATGCAATCTTTGTTTCAAATAAGTTAATGTGGTATAAAAAATGTATCTGACGTGCCCGATCGTTCCTTGATTTTTTGTTCGTTTAGAAAACAGTCATAATTTACCAATTAAAACAAATAGTTAACAATCCTATACGAGTTACTAACACTTCGTCAAGTTTGATTGATGCAATCTTTGTTTCAAATAATTTAATGTGGTACAAAAAACGTATCTGATGTGCCCGATCGTTCCTTGGTTTTTTGTTCGTTTAGAAAACAGTGATCTGTGGTAAAAGAAAAAACTTAAGCTTAAACATTTTAACTATATAGATGTCGTATGCATAAGGCAAATCTGGGCACATGTTTAGGACCATGGCAAATAGGAATATGACTCAAAATGGACACGATGTTGCTATTTACCTGGACATTTAACATTTGCCGATATCTGCGTTGGTCACTTGACAAATGCTGAGAATAAATGTAGGCAAATGGTTATCTGACTAGGCAAATAGCAAAGTGATTTTAATATAAATACAATTTTGCTATTTACCTGGGCGTTTGACATTTGCTGATCTATAAGTTGGTCATTTGGCATATACCGAGTTTCATCAACAGGCGTGTAGCGTATTATAGTATTTCCAAAGTCAGTTGGAACGATATAAAAACACTGACAAAGGAATGTATTCACTAAATGAGTAAATGCTATTGTCGGGCGTTTAAATTCCTTTACTGTGTTTTTATATCGTATCAACTGACTTTGGAAATTCTATACGCGCGTGAATGTTTTTGAGGTTAAGTGTCTATTTGCTTAATTGCAGTCTGGGTGTTTCGCAGCTGTTTTGAGTGTTTCTTCATTTATAAACAATGGCTAGTAACAGTGAAACTAAATCTGCCCAAAATCAAAACATCGTTTGGAGTGTGTCGCGATAAATTTAATGAAGACCTACACTTGTTTTATTCTACGAGTAAATGTAAGAAGCCTTGGGATAGTAATAACTATGACAACGTATAATTAAGACAATAAGGTTAGGACAAGGAAAACAACAAGTGAACGGAGAAAATGAGGAGTGTTATTGTTTATTACATGAGTAAATATGATCCGATGGATGTAAGAGGCGCGACAACAAATATTTAAAAGCAGAAAGGTGTTGATTTTATTAAATCTTCATTTAGTGAATAAGATTTTAATAAATTCCACTATAATAATAATAAGAGATGCGCTTGTTTTAAAAATAGCATGTGCACCAGCAAATGTCATTAAGACTTGACCTGCAGAAACAAATAATTGTGATTTTGTTATTATTCTACACAGTTTACTACTTTTAAAATTTAAATATTTTATTAATTCCGTTTTTCCTAACTTATTAGCGGTATTTACCAAATGACCAACTTACAGTTGGGCAAATGTTAAATGCTGAGGCAGATAGCAAAATCATCGTATTCGTTTTAAAATCGCTTGTGCTATTTACCATGCTTAGGCAAATGATCATTGGCCTAAATTTGCTTTACACCTACAACATAGACATTGACTTTTTTTATAAGAATTGTTAATGGTAACACCTTTCTATGACATATATGGTCTCCCATAAATTAGTAATAAAATTGTAACTTATTTATAACGTTATTTGGCACAATTGCACCTATAAAAATATTATCATAAAAAAGAGGAGACCACTGTGTGTGTATAAAAATTTAAGAAATCAGACTAACATTAACTATGGTTACTTGATATAAATATATAGGACATACGCACACTCGCGTCCCGAGATCCCCCGTCATATTCAGGCTATTCTCGCGCTAGTATACATAGTTCACTACGTACTTGTGTGCATTTTATTCGATTTTCTTTATTTAGAGCAATAAGTACCATCTAAAAGGTAAGTAATAATAACTTATCAAACAGTAAATTACATTTTTTTTTTGGCACTTACACATGGTCCAATCAGCCAGAACCTAATTATTGACTGTAGGGTCGAAGCTGCATTATTATTAGTATCTTATGTACATTATTCATTATTCATTATTCCATTTACCTAATCTCCATTTCTTACTTTTTAATTATTATTGTTTTCATCTTTGTCCTATGGGCCACCAGACGGGACACAAGGGTGATTTTTCTTTTTTATTAATCTATAATTTTGGATTACAAAATATATACGTAAGGATAGTTCACAAGGGCATACACTTCTCGCCTAGGGACCTGTCAAGGCATTTCTAATTAATAACAAACAGGATTAGGCCACGGGTAACAGGGGAAACAACAAAAGGTTAGACAAAAGGAAGTAAGTGTAGTGTATATAGTAGGTACATATCTACCTATACTTAAATTTTTAGTCCAGTTTTGCTTAAAAATTTGATTATGCATTGTAGTACTTCAGTTTTATCTTGACTTAAGACATAGACTAAATTAAATGGAGCCATAACTCCACATTTAATAAGGTTTGTGTATAAGTTGTTGCATTCACTTATATATTTATTACAGTTAAAAATTATATGGTCTAAATCTCCCTCTGTGTTACAATGTTCACACATGTTTGATGGAATAATTTTGAGCCTGGCAAGGTGCGCAGGGTACCGTCCGTGACCAAACTTCAATCTGTTGATTATGGTGATGTATTTTCGGGGAATATTGAGGTTATCGTGCCAAAACTTTTGTGGTATTTTTGGCTGAATTAGCGTATATCTTGTAGGGGTTGTAAAGCAAAATTCTTCCCAGAGATGCGACCATGTTTTTTTCATTTTGTTTTTTAATACATTTGTACAGTCATTTATACTTATATCGTCTGTTACATCCATTCCATGTTTAATGCTCTCTTTTGCCAGAGAATCAGCTAGTTCATTAAAATATAATCCATTATGTCCTTTAATCCACACAAACGAAATATTGCCTCCATTTGATGTCCATTCATATAGCAGTGATTTAATTTTTAACACGCTTTTATTAGCTTCACTTGTATGTTTGCTTGTTTGTTTGTTTGCTTGTTTGCTTGTTTGTTTGTAACTGACTCTTTGGACTCGATTTTAACCCACTTTAAACGGACAGATTTAATTGAAACTTTGTACACTTATTAAGAACCGGTAACAATACAATAATTTGATAAGTTTATATCATTATCCTGTTCAGGATCGCCAATCCTTTCCTCACGTATCCCTGCGTGAAAGCATAGGCTTAATATGTCAGTAGATTCCATAATTGTTAATTAGCCCGGTGGTCGAGTGGGTTAAGGCAGTCGACGCGAAACGACAGACTCCTCCGGCGTGAGTTCGAACCTCACGGCTGAAATAAAATTTTTTTTTTTTTTTTCAGAAATATCTGTTGGATCGTAATATGTTATAATATCAGCATCAATAAGCAATATAAATATAGTTTAAAACAACTAAAAAACACGCTTTCATAGCACATCAAACTAAAAAGTTAAAAATAAATATAGTTTAAAAAAACTAAAAAACACGCTTTTAAAGCACATCAAACTAAAAAGTGAAAAATAATTATTAATATAAACTGAAAATAATAATGAACGAAAAATACTAGTATTATTGTGAAAAAAGCGTGGGGTGCTCGATATACGAAAAATATTGCACAAAGCACCCCACGCTTTTTTCACAATAATACTAGTATTTTTCGTTCATTATTATTTTCAGTTTATATTAATAATTATTTTTCACTTTTTTAGTTTGATGTGCTTTAAAAGCGTGTTTTTTTAGTTTTTTTAAACTATATTTATTATAATATAAAGATCTAAAGCGGCGTTTGGGTTGTAGCTATTTTTTTATGGCTGATAAAACAGAGAGTGAGTCGGAGAGTATGACTGAATACTTTGTATTGGTAGATATAATATATTTTATGCCCTGCAATATTGCAAAGGCTTCAGCGGAGAAAATTGACATGTCCAGAGGTAGGTTAAACATTGACTGTGTGTTTTCCTGGGGACAGAAATAGGCGCAGCCTGTGCCCTCGTGAGATTTGGACGCATCAGTATATATTGTGATTCGATAAGGTATTTTTTTCTAAAGTTTCTAACAAAACACTGCGGCTGAGCGTGTGGTTTTCTGAGTATTTAGGGATTATGACTGTGTTAATACTGGATAAATCAAAGTAATTGTGTTCGGGGTTAGAGGGGTACAATTTATCTAGACGTTCAAAATATTTGCATGTCTGACGAAAGGCCGTACATAATTGTGGAGAGTTTTTTTTTAACCAAAACTTGTTACACAGATCGAAATTATTTAGTTTGTATAATTTGTCAGTCAGAATTGAGTTTTTTGTTTGCGATTTGATAATAGCTAAGAATTCACGACGTAGTTGTAGAGGCGGCTCTAAGGCTTTAACGTGGAGTGGTTCAATTGGAGTTGAGTTCATAGCGCCTAAGCAAATTCTGAGGCACTTGTTTTGAGTTATGTCCAAATGTTTGAGAAGATGATTACTGGCTGAGCCATATATAATGGAACCATAATCCAAAATGGACCTGACATATGACTTGTAAAATAATAGTGCAGATTTTTGATCTGAGCCCCACCAAGTTTTAGATGTCATCCGAGGAAAGTTTATTCCTTTGTCGCATTTGCTAATAATATTTTCAATATGTGGTTTCCACGTCAATTTTTTATCCAGGGTGATACCCAAATATTTGACATCGTTCTTAATGAAAAATTTAAATTTTCCCAATTTAATAGTTTGCATGTTATCTATATTATGAC